TCAACATCATTAGCAGTAGGTAAATCATATTCTCTACCATCCATTGTTCTTCTACCGAGAAGCTTAATTTTTAGTGGCTGAACCCCATCACGCACAATTCTATCTCGAGCAAAGCGAAATGTCTGGACTAAAACATTATTCCTATCAAGCATCTCTTGTAGACTTCTAACAACATCATGTAGTAATTGATTTGAAGAAGACCCCATAGACACGAAATCTATCTGATTCTGCACTTCATTGTTTGTTTCTTGAATGTACAACTGTGCAAATTTGGGTCGTTCGCCATCAACAGGAACTAAGCCTCCAATGCGGTGATAGATTTGACCTCCTATTGAATAAACATATACACCCCGACCATCATTTATAACATGATCCACCTTACCACCAAGAGAAATAAAGGTGAAGAGATTATTATACTGACGAATATATTTTCTAAAGTGGCGAGCGATAACAGTAGCAGACTCCAATAACATCTTCAAAAACTCTGGAGGATCACGTCGCTCTGGAAGTTTTACTTTTCCGCCTTTACAACATAATGTGAATTGAGGATTTACATGTCCCCGACTATCACGGGTGCTTTCAATCCTCCAAAAAACAGCACCACAATATTCACAAAAATAATCTGGATGGCCGATTGAGAATTCCGATATTATCGGATAACCTGCAATATATAGGTGGATCAATTGCATTCTCAAGCATATCAACAAAGAAAATCAAACAAAGGAATGATGTATGGACTGACCACGACTATAAAATGATCTAGGCACTCCAACTTTCTTCCGCTGTTCACAAATTTGGATCATTCTCATAGCTCTGTTATGCTTAGCTTGCAAACTCTTCAAAGGAACATCATAGACTGAACAATAGCAACCATAATCAATATACATAAGCTGACACTTGCTTTCATAGCTATACATTGCTTTCCCACTACTTGAACAATATTCAACCATAAATACAAACCAACCACGATTTGCTGAATCCACAAATTGCACAGTGGAAGAGAGGAGTAAGGGCAGGAGGGAATTATCAGCTGACTTCTATTCATGGTTTGTACGTAGATAGGTTATGGGGGTATTAATAAATTAAGAGAATGAATTTGTAATGTATATGTTTACTTGGATCCCCATATAAAAACAAATTCCACCAAACTTAATTTAACCAAATCGACAGTAAATCCAGGTAAAATGCACCATTTCAAATCTCAAATCCAAAGTCATAGTACATAAAAAGCAATTCAAATGTAAACCAAAGACATAAATAAATACGTGAGACAATTTCATAGACCACTCAAATCATATCTTTGTCTTAACCCCTCACCTTAAGCTTCTGCTAATCACAACAGATCAACTCAGAAAAGTTAACTACATAACAACAAAAGATAAGCAACAAACAAACATAGACATACCTGGGACTGACATAACACGCACTCGATGCAGCCTTCGAACCACCAAAAGGAACTTTCTTCGCCTTCTAGATATAGTTGCAATATACCGATCAACGAAACTGAGGCGAACTTTCAACTTGCTGATAACTATCAATAAGAAACAGCACACCTAAGAACAAACACAACTTTAAATAAACTACATATAATATTCAATTTCACATACCACCATCAAGGCGGCCCCTCTTTGCATCAACTTCAGCTAGTGTCGGACTTTCAGGGGAGACAAAAATTGCTCTTCCTTTCCCTAACAAAGACACATTGGAAGCACAAATAAAAAACCCCTCTATTTAAGTTCATATATATGATATTTAATTTGAGGAAATAACATACTAAGAACAAAGAGAGAATATACATCGAGTGGTATTGTTTGAGCCATAAGAAGTGTTGTCGCGAGGCCGTTTCGGCGGCATTGCTGAAGCAGACGCAGGGAGCCAGCAGCTGCAGGGGGAACAAATAAAGAACTTGTTAGCGGTTAATCCACCAAGACACTGCCGGACTCCAGCTTGATAGGATATGGATTTGTTGATTACTGAAAAACATCGTTAGTACAGGAAAATAAGCAATTGCAAAGATTTTCATTTGGAAAAAGGCAATTACAAAGAACAGAACATAGTTAATAAACGCAAAGGCAAAACACAAAATGACTACAGCTTACCAAGAAGAATCCAAAAATTATGTAGCGGCAAAATTGCGAAACAACGACGAACACAGCAGGTATGATAGCTTAGCAGATAGGCCGAGAGGGGGCAAGAGATAGACGGCGATAGACAGATTGGGCAGCGAGAGAGCGACGACCACAACAGAGACTTCGTTGGCGTCAATTCCCAGTGACAGCTGGGGAAGTAGCGACAGCGAGATGGTGAGGATATGGATTTCACATCGAGTGTGGCAGACAGAGCGGTCGGGAGCACACTGCAGATTGAGGCTAGAAAGATACAGCGACAAAGAGCTCTTCGCGTTCCAGTGTGTGATTGGAGTTTGTGATTTCCTATTGCAATGGCAGCGTCGAACCCAGCGAATACGTCGACAAAGCGTTCTTCGCGATCCGGTGGGTGGTTGGAGTTTTTGGCTTCCGATTGTAATGGCGGCGTCGAATCCAGTGAGGACCCTAGATCACTGAGCAGCCAAATTTACTTCAGCCAATTCGGGGGAAAGCGGCGTCGATTCTCAGTGAGTAGTCACTGAGAAGCCAAAATTACTTCAGCGAATTCGGGGGGAAAAACTTATCTTCAGCGTCTGGGGAAGGATGAGATGAGAAGAGAAAGAACGAAGAGTTCAGTTCAGCCAATTGGAGATTTTTTTTTCTTCAGCGTCCGGGGAAAGATGAGAAGACAAACGCAGAAAAGGAGAAGGTTAGAGAATGACAAAAAACCCCTGCCGAAACGTGCGGCGCTTTCAGCAAAGGGTGAGGTGGCAAATGCTCTGTGTTGACATCCGCTTATAGGGTTTTGTAGATGTATATATGTAGAGTACAATACGCCATTTTGCATGATTCGTACGCGAACGTGGCCCAAGAGCAGCAAGACACCTCCACCTCATTCTCAATTTGGCGGAGGTAGGATTTGAAACTACCCTTGTCCTCTTTTCATAATATAAATATTTAATTAAAAATTATTTAATAAATAAAATTAAAATTAATTATATCCAAATAATTCATTCACATATAAAAAATTTCGATTAATAAAATCACTGTTTTCATAAGCAATCAAGACAGAATTTCATATTGTGAAAAAACACAAAATATTTGTTGTCTACGAGGATAATTATGATATTAAACCGTGCTTGGGGATAGTATATATGAAAACTAGGTCAACCCGATTCCTAGAATGGCAATTTTGACCTAACCTGTTTTACCCGACCTATTTGGCCTGTTTTGGGTGGGTTCGATCCGCCCCGTAGACGGGGCGGGACGGGCATGTGTACCTCTCATCGACCTGATCTACCCTGACCCACCCTATTCTCGACCCGTTCTTGCTTAAATTACATGTATTCTTAGTCAAATTACTTAAAATTTTCTCTTTTTTACCTCTTATTTTAACTATAATAAAGTTGGAAATAAGTGAGACCTCTATTGTCCAATAATTTAACTACATTTTATCATATTATGGTTTATTTCTTGGTCTTTTAATGAAATAACGAATATTTTTAATGTTTTTCATATAAATTACAAACTCATTGGGTCAACCTACTCCGATTCGCGCCCCATGATAAATTACATGATCTGAACACGACCTATCACGGAGCGGGTATGAGTATCGAGATACCCGGCCCGGACCTGTCCCATTGTCATTCCTAGGGATGGCAATGGGTCGGGTCGGGGGCGGATAGTGCATATCCGTTACCCTACCCAATGTAGTTCGGGTTTTACCCATACTCGTACCCACACGAGAAACGGGTAGAAAATCAAAACCATGCCCATACCCGTTCGGGTTTCGGGTATCCACGGTTATCCATGGGTAATAATTTCTCCTTATAATTCCAAACAATATGTTAACATTCACACGTATATTCACATTACGTAAGAGGAAAAGTACGACAATAATTCACTATAATGACGAAAATTAATTAAAACAACATAATTTCATGAAAATATTATATTTATATGCTAAATATAAAATATTCTAGCGAAAAATAATGATTATTTCTAGACAAAATACATATGCATGTGTATAATCGGGCGGGTTCGGGTTGGATAGTGAGATAACTATGCCCACCCATTACCGGCAATATTCGGGTTCGGGTTTTACCCGTACCCACGAAAAATGCTTCGGGTTCGAGTTTTACCCTATCCGATTAGGTCGGATTCGGGTGGATATCCACGGTTACGGATATTTTTGCCATCCCTAGTCATTCCTACCGATTCCATTGCCAATCCATACAGGAAAGAGTAAACTTGCTTAAGCAAGGACCACGTGTCACCCTAATCTCCACCCACAGGCCACAGCTCAACATAAGTTACCAAACCAAAACAAACTCAAAAACTAAACAATAAACATGCATATCCCCACATGCCCCCTCAGCCCAGTTCCTTCTTATCCACACTACTACTACTACAGCAAACTGATATATATGCTCTGTGCTCTCGCATCTGTTACCGAATCCAAAAATTTAATGCCGTGCTTGTTTAGCACACCCTCTTTAATTTCTCTCCTTAACCAAAAAAGCAAGAAAGCTTAGCTATCGTCGAGCCACGGGTGAGCCACGGTTTAAACGCTTTCTTCACTAACTCTCTATCTACTGTCTAGCTCATGGTAGCAGTGGCCCAGCTTAACCAAAACCAAATAAAGAAGAAGAAGAAGAAGAATTTACTGTTGACTACCACATATTATACAGATTCCCACAATTGGTCCCCCTGCGCTACTCGACACTTGTGTGCGTGAGTCATGCTCCATTTCGTCGGCTGATTTCACCCCCACCCTTCACGCGGTTGTTGCAACTCCCGACTCATTCTTCGGCGTTGCGTCAGTTCAACGCTATTCGCCGCCCAACTTAGACAGACGACTCTCTCTGCCTTTGCGTGACTCCATCACCTTCACCTTAACCCGGACCCAACCCCTCCTTTTTAGTATATTCATTAACACACTTAATAAGGAGTTAAATATGCTCGGAGAAAGTATCAGTTTATAATCCAAAATTGATGGGTAATTACTTACTAATAAGGCTGGAAATACAGAGAAACAAATCATTATCATATATAAAAATCAATCGAATTTCCACTAGTGGCATGGTATGCCAACTTGCGACAGAGTGTGAGCTCAGTACTTTGAGCTGGGTGTCTATGTACATAAAAAGAATTTCTGAAAAAGAAATAAAGGACGGCACAATCTAGCCCATATATCGGGAAAAAAAGTATAATTCAAAAAATAAGACACGTGAAAATGATGAATACTTGTATTCCCTAAAGTAACCCTGAGAGAATCCCTAATTCACTAAAACAACCCCATCCCCTACTGAGAGGAGACGACTTCCGCTTTGGGCGCCGCCGCTATCGCCATCACCACCCTGGGCTTCTTCGCCACCGGCAACGGGCTCATCACCTCGTCCTCTCCGCCGCCGGACAAGAAGAAGTTCCCCGCTGCGAACTCCGGCAGGGCCGGCAGGTTGAGGTCGATGAATCCCCTGTTACTCATCGTGGTTGTGGACCCCACACCCTCAGAGACACTGGCAGTCGCTGTGACTGTAGAAGAAGCAATTCCACTCTTCTCGGCTGCGTGGGCGCCACCGTCGTAGTGGCACCGCTTGTGCCCGCCAAGCGCCTGACCGGTGGGGAAGCTCTTGTGACAGATCGAACACTCGTGAGACTTGCCGCTCCCAGTCCCTGATGTTGCGCCGGCCGCAACGGTGCTAGTAGTAGTAGTAGTACTGGAAGTCGATTGGGCGGCGGCCTCGACCTTATCACCGGAGACCGATTTTCGGTGACTGGCCTTGTGGCCGCCCAGAGCCTGGTAGGACGAGAAAGCCTTCCCGCAGACGGCACACTTGTGGCTCAGCAGCTTCTCCTCCGCAGTAGTGGAAACAGGGGAGGCAGAGCGGGCGCGGTGGGAAGAAGAGAAGTCCAAGTCCAAATTGGTGGTGCCGCGAGCAAGCATGACGAGGCAGAGAGCGAGATACTCGTCCTCGGTGGGTTGGTGCTGGGCTTGACCTGCGGCGGACCGCTTGGAGCGCTTGCGCTTGGTCCATGGCTCGGCGAGGCGGTGGAGGCTGTGCACCTCCTCGAACGGGAAGGAAGGCGCGCCGGCCGCCGTGGGGGAGTTGAGAGCTTGGAGTGCCATCTCTGGAGTGAATTCGAGTTGGGAATTTGGTGCTGGGGATTGAATCTTGACTTTTCTTGGAGGCTTGATTGTGAATTGGGAATTTGGGGCTGGAGATTGAATCTTGATTTTTTTTCCTCTTTGATTTGTGGGGTTTGGAGTGTGAAGAGTGAGTTGAAGGGAAGCTGGGGGAGTTGGGGGAGATTTATATAAGGGGTGGCGGCAGTGGTGAGGAAGTTGCGTGACAAGTGGGGGGGAAAGTAAGGAAAAATGCCAAACGTTTATAGTTGGGGAGGTTAATTAAATATTTGTTAGGGGCGTTTTGGGAATTGAAGCTTTATTGTTGAGAAAAAGGAAAGGAGAGTTGCTTGCTTGGCGGCCACTGTTGGAAGGGAAGGAGTGGAGTGGTGAAAAGTGGGTCAAAGTTATGTATGTGTGTAGCGAGTGTGGGTACTGTTTGGCCACTTGGCGAGTGATGGAAGAGTAGTGGACGGACTTAATCGGCTCTTTGGACTGCTTCCAACAAACGCGGTCTTAGTTGGGCCTTTTTCTTTTGGTACTAGGGTTTGCCTCCTTTTAATGTAATCTCCCTACTCTACTCTTTTTAAGTTCACAGAGCAGCAGCCGGCAGCTCACATGCACCTCTCGTTTGCGGCCACTAATCAAAGCTTAATTGAAATTTGTTAATGCTTGTAGAAAAAACCTGATTAGGAGATCACTGGTAATTAGTGATTGTATTTTACATGGTTAAACCAACGCGGTTGAAGATACGGATAATTTTCCAGAAAGGCAGTAGTAGTATTAAAATTGTAGAAGAGTTGTAGTTCCAGATTAGTTGAGGGATCCTTTGTTGGTTAGGTAAGGTTAGGTTGGAGAAGAAGAAGGGTTGGAAGGGGGAAGCAGCGAGGGAGTTTACACGTGCCGCCGGCTTTGAAGGTGGAATTGGGCCCGTTGAAAATCAATATCTATCGGCTGTCCAATAAAAAAGCCCAAAAGGGGGTTCTGGTAGTAAGTGGTCACCACTAGATGAGATTCAATTCAATTCAAAGGCCTGCACTTTTGACACCTAGCTAGCTACGCTAATGCACTTTGGACAGATTCCAAACCAACGTTCCCAGCACCACCATCACTTGAGTTTGAGTCTCCATGTGTGAACTGAAACCCTACACCCAGACTTTCTAAAAATGATGAATTTAAGTGCGTGAATCTCTAGTCTCTGAATTAACATTTATTATAAATACTAATCAATTGGGGTCAACTTGGAAAATATCATCCAATTGAGAAATCTAGATTGTTCAAGAGTTTTTACTAGTACTGTACAAGCTCGATTATTTGGGTGATGGGGTGGGAGTGGAGACTCTTTTTCGTTGCACCTATTCTGGTGTGGGCGTGTAAAATTAGGTAATGGGTGGGAATGAATATGTCCCAAAATGCGTGTTTGTGCTGAGAAAGGGAAGAAATGGTGGTGGTGGTGGAGATGAGGAGGAGTAATATGGGCTTTCTGAAGTGCAGAAAGAAAGACAAAGACACGCTCCCCACTCACTCACACTGTAATATTATGCTTACAGAGAATCTGCCAATTTGTTTCTTTTTTGTGGCGGTGAGAACTTCTGTCTTTCCCATTGCCCTGCTAGAGAATCTGCCACGTTTTCCTCCTTTGCTTTGTTTGTTTTCCTCCTTTGCTTTGTTTCGTGGTTTGGTTAATTATCTTAAGCTGCCGATTGAATGGAAGTAAACTTTTGGTGGGACACTTGTCTAGCATTAGGGAAGAAGAAATTAAAGAAAATAGCATCGTGGTTCAGCAAAGTTTGTCTTCAGAAGCATGTCCAAGAGCTAGAACAAGTCACCCGAAGTCCCTCTCCATTTTAGCGACTGTATGGTTTTGTGAAGCCGTTAACATTGTGTTTTGTCAAAAGGTTGGGTCATCTTCATCAAGTTCATGTAGACAACAAATCTTCACCTATACCATGGCGTTGAAGACAATCGGTGGTCGTAGCTAGTGTTGGGGAGACAAGACAACTTTTGTCAAACAAAGAAGTTCAAGTTATCAAGCGAGGCAGTCACGATCGATCAGTCAATTTTGATTCATTATCATTCTAACTTTCAAGCTGGGCATTCACGTCGTTCATGCTCCAGCTTGAGGGGGAGAATAGGGAATCATCACACGTAGGTCGACTAGTTCAGTCATCAAGTTGACCACGTCTATCGATCAGTCAGGTTGTTCGGAGAAGCACAATCAGCAGTGCAGTTAGAAGTCTCCAAAGTCAGCAACGCAGTCATCAGTCTCCAGTCTCATCCAAGACGTCAAGGTAATTCCGCCATGTGGAGTTCACTATTGTTGAACTAGGTCAAGCATGAAGTCGGATCAGTCTCATCCAAGACGTCAAGGAATTTCACCATGCTGAGTTCACTATCAAAAGAACTAGGTCAAGCATGGAGTAGTTTCATCATTTGTCTACATCTCCCGCAAGCGAACAAAGTCACAGCCTGTTGGATCGTCATTGCCAGCAAGAGGTTGTTTGAGTGTTGTTCAGTTTCAAGCTCGACATTCTTGTCATTTATGTCTTCGCTTGAGGGGGAGTGTTGAGAATATTGATTATTTAGTCAAAAATAATTAATTCCTTGTCCTCCAAGTCCCTTGTTTCCTTGTCCTTGTCAAAGAAGGAAACCTGGTTGTCATTAGGGTTATAACCCTAAGTCTCTCTATATAAGCTTAGCTACGAGATTGTCGTAAGCAAGCCGTCACAATGTAGTCCCATAATAAAATCGTCAGCCGTGAGCTCTTTCGAGCTCACCGTGAATTAGTCTCGATCAATCAATCGAGAATACCATGTAAAATCCCTTGTCTTTTGTGTTCGTTTCCTTCCGCATCATCAATTTCTACACTCAACCCCCCACTCTTTCCTGCCGACAAATTTCGGTTGTGCGACTCTTTAAAGCAAACAACACATGTTCCTCGCAATCAAGGCGGAGCTTGCTAACCAAACTTCAGTTTTGCTGCAATTACAGCTCAAGATAAGAGTCGGCAGTCGGTACGTCAAATACATTTTCAACGTTGACTCCTCGTGTGGCATGCCACTCTTTTCTTCAACTTCAACCATAATTGATAAGTCCACTTCATTTCGTGGTGCGCTGCAACTATAGGGGTGGACGTGAGTCTGGACTCACCAAGAAATTAGATATTGGATTGGTGGATGTCAATGGTTTGAGTCGATTTATTTTTAACCAGTGAGTTTAGTCAACTCAAAACTGTAAGACATTATTTAATTTCTTCAATTCTATGATTTAATTATGATTTTACCATATGCATAGATGCTGATAAAAAATCGTTACACCAGCAGCAGCATCTTCGAATCAATGACACGTTCTTATCTTGTTAGCTCAAGCAGACTGACTATCTTTAATTGAAGCAACCTTCACTTACGGTTCATTAGCTAGATATAACTTCCAATCGTGATTCGTGGCCCCAAAAGAAAGTGAGCTAGCTTAACACTTCGCTTTAGGTTTATCGATTCAAGTCTAATTTAAATATGGTCGATCAACTCATCATTTGGTTTATGTCTTTTTTGTTTTCAAGGGATCCAAAAATGTCAGAAACAAGAAAGAAAACACTGATTCGAGAATTTACTGAGGTAGTGTAGTTCGTTCCTTACAAATTAAAAATCAACTCGACGTGGTGTGTACCAAATCGATCACTTCTCTCCTCTTTAGCGCTGTTCCACCAAGTAATAAGCAGACCATCTTGATTTAGTCAGTTATTTCACACATAATTAAGAACCATCTATGATTTTCATAGAGATAATGTATGCACTTCCTATTGAATTGTGAGATATTGACTTTTGGTTAAGTCTATCGAAGACTTTCTCCAATGCGCTAATATTTAGTACGTAGGTGGTGGTGGTGGTGGTGCTTGATAGCATCTTTTCAACCAAAAAAACGGGGGCTGTACCTCTCGGCCAATAATCAACCTTAATCTACTAAACAAAGTTATTGAGCTCACTCGAGATTTCAAGGTTGACTCCATTTTTAAATACAGAATCAAGTAATTATACTAATAGTCTAATCCTTAATTTCCCCTCTCTTTTGTTGGGGTTATGGGCAGAATCAAGTAATTATACTAATAGTCTAATACCACCCAAGACGACATTTCTTTCTGTTTTGGTAAACAGTAATTGGGTGAAAAAGGATAAGCATCAAAATATGGAAGAGTCGAGGAATGTGCATATGTACCGATTTGCTTACTCAGGCACCACGAAAGCACGATGTTGATCCATATGTCTAGATGGAGAAGTACAAGCTAAGTCGGCCACAGCCCACAGCTGAGCTGACGAGGCCAAAGGGGGGCATTAATTAATTACATAACGTGTCATTAACTCGTTGGTAATTAAATAATTAATTAATTATATGACTGTTTAGCTACTTGATTGATTATATTTATACTACTACTTATGTTTGTTTTTTGCCAGCCTGCTGTTTTGGACTTTGTTGGAGGCGCACTTAAAACATGTGCCACAGTACCACTCATGATCTAGCTAGTACTGTTGTGTCGGTTTTTTTAGATACTCTTCAATTTCTTAATAAATGAATTCTTGTAATTCATGTTTCTATCGGTAAATACAAACTCGTTAGAAAGGTGATTCAGAAATTCCTAACTCTTTGCCAAATGACACAATTCAAGGGTAAGAAGCAGATTGTGGGAAATGAGATGAATTATGAGAAGAATGAGATCGTTTAGCTACAACGATTTGTTCGTGTTGACCTGTATAGGGCTCGGCCCATTTACGTACATAAGTCCCGTACCCTAGCCCATATACCAATGCATAGGTAGACTTGTTGAGAGCATGGATTAGGGTTTAGATTGTATATATATCTCCTGTACTCCTTGTTGATCATTAAGCTAAATAAGAGATCCTTCTCCGTGGACTAGTAAGTATTGCTCTCTCCAATACTGGAAACCACGTAAACCTATTGTTCTTTACGTTTCAGCTCACAGGTCTTCTAACCTGGTATCAGAGCTTACGGCTATGGATTCACAGAGGCTCTTAGTTCGTTTAACGCACAAGAACTATGCATTATCTGAGTTTTAGTTTCGTATCTTCGTTGAAGGCCATGTCTTGCTGGAAATTCTCGACGGTACGATCAAGAAGCCAACGGCGCCAGCTACGGCGCAAGAGATCGCTACCTGGGCTCAGAGTGATGCCGGAATCCGTTCCTGGCTACTCAACTCCGTCGATCCCACGATCGCTCTAGGGCTGCGTATGCACTCGACCTCTCATGGTATGTGGGCTCATCTCGCCTCTACCTACTCCACTGTGAACACTGCCTGCCAGTTCGAACTCCAAATCGAATCGGGCCAATTGGAGCAAGGAAACAAGGACGTTGCGTCCTATTTTAGTGTTGCGCAAGAATTGTGGATTGAGAAGGACCTGTTAACAGCGTCACTGCGGTCCAAGGAAGCCTCTGCCGAGGTTATGGAGGAGCGACAACATGCTCGACTTTGCCAGTTCCTCATGAAACTCCGCCCGGAGTTTGAGTCGGTTCGTTCCACACTGCTGAACCGTGATGATTTGAAGCTTGAATGGATTCTCGGTCTGCTCGTGCGTGAAGAGATTCTCCTTCGCACCCAGGCCGAACTTGATATCTGTCCGGGAGAAGGAGAGACGGTCTTCGATGCGGCAGCTCAACCTGATCCAACGTCCTCGTCGTCGGCCGCCTTTGCTGTTCAGAAACCACAGTTCCAACGGCTTGTAATGGCTGCTGATGTTGAATGTCACCATTGCCACGAAAAAGGACATTACCAAAAGCACTATCGTCGTAAAAACTTCTGCGTGTACTGCAAAAGCCACGGTCACATTGTGCTTGATTGCAAATCTGCTCAAAGAGTTGTTGTCGCGCCAACGACCCACGCTCCTCGTCGACGGAGCGGCCTGCTGTGGACCGTTCAGTTTATGCGACTCCTGCTCTTGGGGAGGCCTCGACTTCGGCCATCAATGCTACTGATGTGGAGCAGCTTGTAAGTGTTGCCCTCCATCGCTCCCTGCCCGACACCATTAGTAGCGCCTTTGCTGCCCTTCAGATGATAGGTATGCCTAAACCTTGGCTGATTGATTCAGCTTGTTTCAATCACATGACGCAAGATGCTACCAAAATTCAAAACTTGGTTCCTATTCATGATATGGCTTTACACGTTGCAAATGATCAGAGTTTAAAGGTTAATGGTGTTGGGAGTGTTCGTAGCTCATGTATGCAGCTGCCCAATACGTTACATGTTCCTACTTTAGTTCCAAATTTAGTTTCTGTGGGTCAATTTACAAAGCAAGGTTTATCTGTTTTGTTTGGTCCTTCTGGTTGTGTTATACAAGACAGAAAGACGGGGAGGCAGATCGGGCGAGGGAGTAAAAAGGGGCGGGTCTTTCATCTCGAGGAGCTCTCGAGTACAGGGTCACCATCACCACCATCAGTTAGTTTACCCCTTTTCAGTAGTCCTTCCAGTCAAGTAGCTTCGTCGGTGTCTAGTGGTTCGGTTTCTTTTCCAGTGTCTCCTTCCTTTTCAAGTCGGTCTGATAATGTATGGGATTTATGGCATGCTCGTTTGGGTCATCCCAACTCTGCTCATCTCTTGGCTATGTTTAAACAAGACCTTCTTGGGAAAAATAAGATGAATGGTGTTGCTTCACATTTATGCATGAGTTGTATTGAGGCCAAGATTACTAGTATTCCTTTTCCCTCAAGTACGACTGTGATTTCTGAACCATTTCATCTTATACACACTAATTTGTGGGGGTCGTCCCATATCGTATCAAGTCATGGTTTTCGCTATTTTGCCTTGTTTGTTGATCACGCCACCCGTTTTACTTGGGTTTACTTTCTTCGCCTGAAATCTGACTAGCTTGCTGTTGCTTCGGAGTTCCTGAACATGATCCGAACTCAGTTTGAGCGACCTGTCAAGATTGTTCGATCTGACCTAGGCGGGGAATTCAACTCCCATCCGATCACTTGGCATCTTGAGTCAAAAATCATGTCCCGACATATCTCAGCAGAACGGTCTAGTTGAACGGAAGCGGAGAATCGGGAAGATTCAGTCAGAAGGGGTGGCCGAAATGATGAGAGAGAAACGAGACAACGCACAGCAAGCCAGTACCAGCGAGCCACGTCAATCCCAAGGTGGAGGAAACCACTGCCACCACTCCCATTATCACATTGCCCTCTCCATCTTCCCGCCGCCGCCTCCGCTTGACCGCCGCCGGGAATTGGCCGGGAAAGTGGCGAATATTAACATCACTCCGATCTTCCATCTGCCGCTGCCGCTCCTTCATCCGAAGTGCCGCAATCCTCTCCCTCAAAACGCTTAAGTTTGCTTCCACCGCGTCTTTCGGCCACTCGTCGTGGTCATCATCTGCGCCCAGTCCAGATTAATAAATACGAGAAATCATTTCATCTCAATACGAAGAAACCCTAACTTGAACCAAAATATAGCTAGTAATTGATTAGCTGGGCAGATTGACTCAACCAATGCTCATCTTTTAGACGTGCGTAATTACGGTTTGGTTAACAATTACGTACCTTGCCCTGCAGGGAACCTGCATTGAGCTCTGAGCCTGGCCTTGAGATGCTGCCGCCGGGGAGCGCTACGACTGAAGAAGAAATCAGCGGTGCCGAATGGCTTAACTGCTACTGTTGCAGTAGGATAAGGAGACGCAGCAACAGCAGCAGCCATCTGAGTTAATGAATTTGTATTGCTTAACTAATTAGTACGAGTTTGAGAGACAAAAAGAGGGATGGAAATTTGTGATGAGATGGTTCTTAATGCAAGGAAGAGGAAGAGGAAGAGGGAGTAGAAGGGGAAGACAAATTCGTGGGATATTGGTGTTTGGAGTGAAGCTCATCATCAATATAATTTCTACCAGTGAAAATGAGGGAAGATGAAACCATGTGTGTTTATATATATAAGGAAAAGATAGGGCACAAAATTTTAATGTGCAAAACACTAGGCTAGTTTTGAGAAGGGGAGATGGGAGGCGTGCAAAAATGAAGGGTATATGAATAACAAATGAATTATACCCGTTTGGTTATTTTGCAATGGTATTTTTTTTATTGGAAATAATATTTTGCAATAGCGGACATATGGGGTTATTTTGGTCTTTTCACTTGCTCAACCCTAACTCGGGTTTCTTGTTGATGCCGAGTATATGTATTGTGTAAGATGGCTGCCGAAAACCCTAATGAAAATCTGAGATAGCAAAACTTCTTCGTGGAGTAAGCTCATTCACACCGAATGAGAAGAACCACGTAAATCTGTGTCATGTCTTATTTGTTTTCCTTATTGCGTCATACAAATTCGCCTTTAAAGCATATGGTATATCGGATCTGTGCAAACTTCAAACTTTTGTGTTGACTTTCATTTTAGAGAGCATTTACAGAAGTGTTTAAGTATCATAAATGGACCTCTTCCAATAACTCAAGTTATTGACAAAATTTGATTTATAACATTAATCAAAATCCCATGTTTGAAAAAACATCTCTTAAGGAAGGAAAAGACATATTGCCAAAGTCCACCAATTGACTGCCACCTCTTTTTATTCTCTCTTGTCTGGATCCAATATAAACCCTAAACTAGTAATAGTGCATATGAGTCTATTTGATTCGACAAAATACTCATATGTATTAAGGGCTCGTTTGCTTGTTGGATTAGAAAATGAAGGTTTTGATTTTTGAAAATCTTTGGATTTATGATGGATTTATTGTATTTTGTATTTGAAAGATAACATTGTTTGTTTAGTTGAATTTTTATCATGGATCTAGTTCATTTGGTATTTGGATCTCAAAAATTTGCTTTCCATAGTGTTGTATTTTCAAATACCAAATGAAATGTGTTATTTCCAAATACGTGGGGTCCACGAATTTGTATACCTCAACAAACAATGTTTTTTCATCAAATACATAATGCTTGGTATTTGGGTGCCAAATACAACACCCAAATCCCACAAGCAAACGAGCCCTTAATACATATGACAATGCCTGGTATTTATGAATAATAGAGTTTACTAAATTGCTTAAAGGGTTTGACTTTTCATCAAATATTTGACTTCTATTAGTTAAGGGGTTTATGGGGTTCGGATCCCATCAGTAATTGACGGGTCAGTAACTGACGGGTTAGTAACCCCTTCCTTTATCCACACGTGTCAGTCTTTCTTTCATTTAAATTAAATACAGAGATGCAGTAGGATAAAATTGCACTCAGCCCATTTAATGCTGACAATGACTTTTGACCAGACGCGGACCCCACCTCCAGCCTCATGTGTGTTCCCCTCTCTCTCACTCTTTCTGTTATTATTAATAGAAAAATTACATTATTTCTTCAGGTTAATTGCATGGTTGGTCACTAAGATTACAAAAAACGTTCAAGTTTGATCACTCGAAATATTTAAATCTATTGGTGGTACTTCAGTTTACTGAAACCGTTCACGTTTGATCACTCTCCGTCCAACTTCGTTAACTTTGACTAATGTGGCAGTCAGCTCTCAAACTTGACCGTTAACTTAGTGGCATGGCAATTACAAAATAATAAATAAAATAAATTTAATCTATTTTAATGTCCAACTCATTTTTATCATAAAATAAATAATAAAAAATATTACAATTATTAATTACCAAATTAAAATAGGCGCCCGACGAGGTAGCCGCGATTCCTTTGGCATTGGATGAAGCCGTTCGAAGTGGAAAAGTGAAGATAAGAAATGTCGCCTCCCTCCTCTCCGTCGCCGCCTCTTCCACCTCCACCTCCATCATCGACTCCCTCCTATCCCACGCTCTTCCTCAACAGGAATTCTCAGCCCATCCCTTGGATCCAATAAGAAACCCTCCACCTAATCTTATCCTACCCGGACAAATGGTACTCCTCCAAGCGTCGACACCTCAAGGCTCACTAGTGGCTTGAGGTCGCCATCACTGTTGCCACCCGCTGCGACTTCGATTTCCAAACCCCGGAGGCCAAATCAGGGACCTTGTGCCGCCACAAGATGGAGAAGCTCCGCAGTAGGTACCGCGTCGAGCTCCACGCGGTTTCCTCGGATGTAGTGGGTTCCAATTGACCCTATTTCGCTATCAGCGATTTAGGGATTCTTCAAGACGCGAAAGCTGCTGCAGCTGTGATGGGAGCAAAGAGGAAAAGAGTAGAGGAAGAAGAAGAAAGGGGCGAAAAGGGGTTTGGGTTGGTGGATGAGATAGAGACGTTTATTCAGAAGATGAAAGCGGTGGAGAGGAAGAAGATGGAGATGTTGAAGGAAACAGAAAGATGGAGAATGGAGATGGAAACGGAAAAGGATAGGGATGATGGTAGCTTCGTGGAGGAAGATTCTTGACTTGATTCCCTGTAACATCCAGTTTGCTTAGTCAATGGCAATATCAAAAGCATCCGTTTTCCCTTTCCATCCTACAGAAGAACTACGCCCTCGACCTCACCGCCACCGTCTCCGCCGACAACCTCCCTCACCTCCTCCACTCGCCGTGGCGCAACTCGCTCGAGCGCTCTTTCCTCTTCCTCGGCGACCTCCACCCTTACCTGCTCACCAACCTTTTGAGGGAATTCCTCAGAGAAGGAGGATCGAAATCCGTATCCGACACCGAGCACGAACATCAACCCGATTCCGAGGTCGCTTGGCAGTTGGGGATCACGCCGTGGAAAGACCCTTCTAACGAATTGATGGTCAAGATCGAGCAGATTGAGCGCGGCGTACGGTTGATCGTGTTCTCCTTTTCGGAGAGGATGAAGATTAAATTATTTTATTTTATTTATTTATTTTATGATAAAAATGAGTTGGACATTAAAATAGATTAAATTTATTTTATTTATTATTTTTTAATTGTCACGTCACTATGTTAACAGTCAACTTTGAGAGTTGACTGGCACATCAACTAAAGTTAACGGAGTTGGACTGAGAGTAACCAAACGTGAACGGTTTTAATAAACTGAAGTACCACCAATGGATTTAAATATATCCAATGACCAAACTTGAACATTTTTTGTTAAATAATTCAGTGCTAAAGACAGTAATAACAAATATGAATATGATTATCACTATCACTTTCTACTATCGTGGTAAAACATGGTAAAATATGTTGAAAAAAATTACAAATCTAACTACCATACAATATCACATGGTATAACGTGGTAAAACATGCTACTGAAATTTAAAAATCCATATGGTATAACATGCTAAAAAAATACAAATCTAACTACCATACAATATCACATGGTATAAAGTGGTAAAACATGCTACAAAAATTTACAAATCCAATTACCATACCATACCATATGGTATAATATGCTAAAATAAAATTACAAATCTAACTACCACCACATGATATGACTTGGTAAAACACGCTACAAAAATTATAAATCTAACTACCATACAATACCACCATAGTAGAACATGATAAATCGAATGACCACAAATTAATTATAATTATCATACAATACCACATGATAAGAGTAGGTAAAACCATATAAAAAATATAAATCTAAGTAGAACCCTCTACGACCCAATATAAATATAATTTCACGGAATTAGTGTCGATTACCACCCAATACCATATGGTATAGTGTAGTAATATCAATATATATTTTTTTACCACACAATACTATATGGTATAGTGTGGTAATATCAGTATATATTTTGTTACCACGCAATACTATATGGTATAGTGTGGTAATATTAATATATATTATCTAAAAAATAGAAAGAGGGAGAGAAAAAAACTTGTCTTTTGTCTCGTCTCATTTTCTCAGCAATCTAGAACGCCAAATACCAAAAAAGGAGAAAGATTGGAATTGAGGCCAACAATTTGATAAAGAGAAGAAACACAATGAAAAAGGGTGGATGTAATATTTATTCGTCGATTGCAGTAGAAAAAAACGAAGAAGAAGAGAAGGGACTAAGGAGCAGATCTAGATATGGAGAAAGATATTGGGAGAGAGAAAGAGAAAGAAGAGTTGTAGTGAAAAGACTTTTTCTCTTCCCTCCATTGAAAAGCCAACCATTAAATGCGGGATAAATTAAAAAAAATGGACAAAAATATTCCTCCCCACTAGGGATTGCAATGGGTCGGGTTGGGGCGGGTTTTGTCAAACTCAAACCCAAACCCATGGGTTTATCCGCAAAAAAACCTGGGGTAAAACGCATTGGGTTTGAAAAACTCAAACCCAACCCAACCCGCTGGGTATCCGCAGGTTCATGGGTACCCGTGGGTTTTTGTGGTAAAATATTTATAATAACAAGTTTCTTTCAAAATAAAGGGTTAATATCAATTTTCTCATACAAATTAATCATACAAAAAACACCAATCTAAAGCATACAAGCAAACCGCAAATGATCAATATAAATTGTACAAAATTAAAGATAAACATCTATAAACAATAAGATTAATTAAAAGCTTCTTCCTCGTCAACTAAGTTTCTTCACTCTTCACTTCATAATATCAACTTCATTCTAGACAATTAGAAAAAACAAATTTTATATGTCTCCACAAACATAAAGAATATTAGTTGTTTAATGAATTTATATTATTTAGAATATTAAATATACCGGGAAAGTAATTATAGGGCGGGTACCCATGGGGCGGGTTATACTAAACCCAAACCCAACCCGACCCAAAACCTGTCAATACGGGTTTTACCCGCGTTGACCGGGTTGGGTCGGGTGGGTACCTGTGGGTTCGGATTTTGTTGTCATCCCTACTCCCCACTACTGCATCCAATCTAGTCGCACGATGGCTCCGTCCCCCTATATCTACGGTCTCTATGTGGTTACTGAACGCATTCCGATCCGGGGTTTATGTTGAGAACAATCATAAAAGATAGCCAGTCAATTCTTGAAGGAAAGCAAATAGGAATGGCAACGGGGCAGGTCTGGGGCGGGTATTT